TTCGAACTCAACCATGAAACCTTGTATATGTCGGTGAAGATTGTTGATATGTATCTTTCGAAGACCAAAGATGTAGTAAAGGATGATCTGCAGTTGTTGGCTAGTGTAGCTATCTTCATTGCATGCAAATTTGAGGTGATTCCTCGCTCTTTTTCGGAATTTCCCTCTAAACAATTTCTGATTTCTCGTTCTTTTTCGGGATTTTCTTCAAAAATTTTCTCTTTAGGAGCGCAGCCCACCTCTTATTGACGACTTTATGTATGTATGTGAGGAAATGTTCACTCGTGAACAAATGATCAAAATGGAAATGAAAGTGTTGGATACCATAAACTATGACATTGGATTTCCGCTCAGCTACCGAAATGTCAGGCGCTATGCTAGAGTATGTATCACAAAAAATTTTCCTATACGTTGCAGTAGATACTTAATTTTTCTCTTCCCTCTTTTTTGGATTTCATTCTTGTCTATTTTTGGGCATGCTGCGCCTTCGTTACCAGGAAATCTCAGTCAGTATAAGACCAGTTTAGGTGACAAAGACCGATATGCCAAAGTTGACACTTGCACGATACGTTCTGGAGACATCATTGATGTTTTACGAATACGTTGGAGTATCTGAATCCTTGATGGCGGCAGCTGCCATATTACTGGCTTTCAAAATGCACGACAAAGATGCTACTTGGTCTGGATTGCATTTAATAGTCTTGTTTGTAGTTTAGATCGCTTGTTTCAGGACACCAATCCTTCAAAAATATTCCGGTTACAAAGCTGAGGAGGTTGAAGCAATGATGTGGGAGTTGAACCATATGCTATATAAGCGTCGGGTAATGTACGATCGATTGGAGACTGTTTTCTCGAAATACAGCCATGAGTAGGTTTATTGGTTCTCTAAAGGCATTGTCCAGATCAACTTGGGGGCATTGGGATCTTGAGACAGTGTGAGAGCATGGCTCTCTAATAACGCAACTGTTCAAGTCCGATTGAAAAAGGTGGAGTTTGAAGCGAGAAAATCGCTTCGGACGAGTTTGCAAAGCGGGTGTTGCTCCAGTCCCGCCCACTTGACAAGTTGTGACGTGGCGAATGCTCAAAATCTAGTGTATTGGCCACGTCAAGCCTTGTCAAGGGGGCGGGATTGGAGTATCCCTTTCTTGCAAACTCGTTCGAAGCAATTTTCTCGCTTAACATTCCACCTTTTTCGATCGGACTTGAACTGTT